CCCCGTCTTCCGGGGCCAGTCCCCCAGCAAACGGGCCGTCCCGCAGGGCGAGGCGGAGCGCGAGTACTTCAACCGGTACAGAGAAGTGCCCCCGTACGACATGAAGGCTTACTACGGCCGCTCGGTGGACTTCAGAGACCCGTTTGAGAAGGAGAGGTACAGAGAGTGGGAGAGGAACTACCGAGAGTGGTATGAGAAGTTCTACAAGGGCTATGCCGTGGGTGCGCAGCCGCGGCCTCCGGTGAACAGAGAGAACTTCTCCCCGGAAAGGTTTGGCCCCCCTGGGACCAGACGAGAGAATTCGCCGTACACTCGAGGCCGGAGGGAGGAGTATCCCGGTGGGCAGAGCCACAGAAATCGTAACGTAGCTGGAAACTACCCTGAAAAGGCTGGAAGAGAGAGTCATGGCATCAAAGATCCTACAAAATCAAAAGAGAAGGAGGTGGAAAATCCACTGGGAGATGGCAAAGGCAATAAACATAAAAAACACCGGAAGAGAAGAAAAGGGGACGAGAATGAAGCATTTCCCAGTGCTGAGCTGTTAGAAGCAGGGAGGAAACCAAGAGAGACAGTTCCAACAGAAGAGGCTAAAGCAGACTCTCTGTTCATGCTCCCGAGCAGGGATGATGCCACCCCTGTGCGGGATGAGCCCATGGAAGCTGATTCTATTGCTTTCAAACCAGTGTCTGAAAAGGAGAAGAAAGAGAAGGATAAGCCAAAAGCAAAGGTTGAGAAGACAAAGCGGAAGGTAGAAGTGGCAGTTGCTCCAAAGAAAGACAATGCAGTGAAACCAGCTAAGGCTTCCCAGGAGAAGGTGGACCCCGACCGTGAAAAATCTCCTCGAGCAGAGCCTCCCGTGAAGAAAGTGAAGGAGGAGCTGCCAAAGACAGACAGTGTTAAAGCCTCCTCCTCCCAGAAGGATGAGAAGGCTCTTGGGACCCCACGGAAGGCTCACCCTAAAGTGGCAAAGGATCACCCAGAAACCAGACCAGCCAAGGAGGAGAAGGCAAAGAAAGAGCACCCGAAAGAAGCCAAGTCGGAGAAGCCCTCCAGCAAGGAGGACAAGTCCAAAAAACCTGCTGAGAAAAGCAAAACTTCCGATGCCAAACCTGAGAAGAGGAAAAGAAAAGCAGAGGAAAAGGTTGATAAGGAGCATGAAGCCGCTTCTGCAAAGGCCTCTAAACCCGAAACTGCGGAATCGAAAGCATCGCCCAAGGGCAAGGCTGAGCCCGAGGGGGAGAAAGGGGAGCGCACACCAGAGAAGGATAAAGCTGCTTTCCTGAACAACCCCTCCAAAAAGATTAAACTGAACCGAGAGACTGGCAAAAAGATTGTGAGTGGAGAGAACGTGCCACCCGGAAAAGAGGCTGTGGAGAAGCCAGAGCCAAGCAGCAGCAAAGCCAAACCGGAAAAAGCCAAGGGAAAAGCCAGAAGGAAAGTGACGGCAGCTGATGGATCTAGCTCAACTCTTGTGGATTATACCAGGTACCTCAACAGTTCTTCTCTCTATCCCCTTCTTCCCCCAAAAAAAAGAAAGTGTAGAATTCTTTATGGTGCCTAATGAAAGGAACAGCTAAATCTATGCTAGACAAAGGAATAATCCATGATCTTCCCTGTGAAACTGTGCTTGAGTCAAACTCAAGTGTTGTTAAGGAAAAGGAGCGTTTTGTGCACGCAGGAAGCTGATAGGGCTAGTTCATGGGTAATGCAAACTCCAAACATTTGAGGCATTTGTTGGAGCCTTAAGACAGTGTCTTGGTGCTCTAAAAGGCTTTTACAGTGTCCATTTTTCTAAGGAAGCACTCTGGGACGTGGGGATAAAATTTGGCTGTCTGCACCTCTCCAGAATTGCTTGCTTTCATGTTGAAACAAGAATGGATATCCTAATTTATCTGCCAGTGGGAGAAATAGGACATGAAGGAATTACCAGATCAGACAGTCCTCAATCTGATAATCTTGTGTCTTTGTTAATTGAATGTGTAGTAGCAGATACTAAATTAATTGATTGCTCAAGGACTTGGCCTTTCTCTTGTCAGTTCCCTTAATTGAACATCTTTGGGGAAAAAACTGGGAGTTTAGAACTGAGACACAGGCCAGTTTGTAAAACGTTCCCAACGCCGGCCGTGTGTGTCTCCTGTCACTAACGTCCATGTTTTCCCTCCCAGCACGAGTTCCACAGGGGGAAGCCCTGTCAGGAAGCCTGAGGAGAAGCCAGACACCAAGCGGACTGTCATTAAAACTCTGGAGGAGTATAACAACGACATCACAGCCCCTGCCGAAGATGTCATTATCATGATCCAGGTCCCACAGTCTAAGTGGGATAAAGACGACTTTGAGTCTGAAGAGGAAGACGTCAAATCCACCACCCAGGTGCCCCCAGCTGTAGGAAAACCTGCCAGTGTTATCAAACCCGTGAGCGTGAAGGCACCAAACCCCCTCAAACACACGGAAAAGGAGATGGATCCTCTGGAGAAAACACAGAAAGCTGCAAAAGAGACGAGTTATGAAAGCGCCCAGCACGATGCCAAGAGTTCAAAGAGTTCTGTGTCCGGTGAGAAAGGCAAAACCAAAGAGCGGGATCACTCTCTGTCAGACAAGGACACTTCGGACAAGAGGAAGAGCAGTGTCCAGCCAGAAAAAGAGCACTTGGAACGTGCAGCCGAACAAGGAAATGGAAAAGCTATTTCTCAATCTTCCAAAGAGGGCAGATCTTCGGAGAAACACGACAGTGGCCGTGGCTCCGCCACCAAGGACTTCACTCCCAATCGAGACAAAAAGTCTGAGCACGAGGGCAGCAGGGAGCATTCCGGTTCCAAGCGCAGGGACGAGAAGAGTGAATCTGCACGGAGGAAAGACTCCCCGTCCCGGAACAGAGACTCCGCAGCAGTGCAGAAGAGCAAACCGAGGGAGGAGCGCGTGGAGCCGCCCAAGAAGGGCCCTGCGGAGGCCAAGCGGAGCAGTTACAGCCCCGCACGGGAGCGCAAGCCCGTGGAGCACAAGGCTGTGCATGACTCCAAGCGCCCCGCAGAGGAACACAAACCTCCGGAGAAGAACCCAGGGAAGGAGAAGGAGAAGGAGAAAGAGAAGGAGAAAGACAAAGAGAAACATGTGCCGGAAGTCAAGAGCAATAAGGAGAAGGAGACAGGTGGGAATAAAACACCTGTGAAACAGGAGCCGCCAGAAGTTAAGCCTGAGAAGGAGAACGTGGCGGGACAGAGCGACAAGGGGGCGGCGAAGCCGAAGCCGCAAAAAAAAACGCGCCTCTCCTCCGACCCCACCCGCGAGACCGACGAGGCTGCCTTCGTGCCGGACTACAACGAGAGCGACAGCGAGAGCAACGTGTCTGCCAAGGAGGAGGAGGCTGCGGGGAAAACCCCGAAGGAAGCAGCGAAGGAAAAGGCTGTGGACAAGGTGAAAGAGGAAGCGGCAGCCCCAGCTCCGGCCGAGCAGCCCGAGGCAGGCAGGAGCCAGAGCCAGAGCAGCCCCAGCGTCAGCCGCAGCCGCAGCCACAGCCCCTCCGAGAGCCAGACTCGGAGCCACAGCAGCAGTGCCAGCTCAGGGGAGAGTCAGGACAGCAAGAAAAAGAAAAAGAAGAAAGAGAAGAAGAAGCACAAGAAGCACAAGAAACACAAGAAGCATAAGAAACACGTGGGAAATGAACCAGAATTGGAAAAGAGCCAAAAACACAAACACAAGAAGAAAAAGTCAAAGAAGAGCAAAGATAAAGAGAAAGACGACCAAAAAGTGAAATCTGTCACGACATAAACCGACAGATAATGAAAAAGTGACTTAATTCCTAAGTCATCTGTATTAAATTTTGTTAAAATGTAAACGACTTCAAGCGTTGTAAATAATGACATGAAGACCCTGTGCTGCACTTAAAATATTGCTGCTTGATTATTTGATTTTTACATCAGAGCTTTATAAAAGTGAACATTTTGTACAGAATTGTGAGTTGTGACCATGTAACATGAAAGGTTTTGCTGGGGCATCTTCTTTTTAACCACCGTTAATTAGTTTGGGTGGAGTTTACTGTACTGTGAAGATTTTCACATTTGGGTTTTTTTTAATTGCCTGGCAGAAGCAGCTGGTTCCAGTTACAGCACCGGCAAGATGAATTGCAGATCCATTACAGCCCTGTTATGTCACTTTTTGATTACAATAAAAAAGTTTTCAGTAAACGATCCGATGTGATGAGATTTCCAGCGGGAGCTGAACACAGGCACGGAACACCTCAACCCTTCCCAGCCCCGGGAGTGTTCCAGGCCAGGTTGGACGGGGCTTGGAGCAGCCTGGGCTGGTGGAAGGTGTCCCTGCCCATGCCAGGGGGTGGCACTGGATGGGCTTTAAGGTCCTGCTGGCCCAAACCATTCCAGGATTCTAACAGATAGCACAACATCCCAGTGACCACCAGACTGAGCAGTGACAGCTCTTGGCCATGAGATTTGCCCTGAAGCGTGGGCATGAGGCACAGGGTATGTCAGGCAGAGCTAGAGAGGAAATTAGGTAACCAGGGCACAATGTGGATGTTACTAGAACCCCTTGTAATGGTATTGCAGTTGGAAAGGAAGGAGAAGCTGCAGTTCAGTGTTTAATGAGAGTTTTCAACCATTATTTCATAGAATCAGAAACCTGGAATGGTTTGGGTTGGAAGGGCCTTAAAGGTCATCTAGTCCCCCCCTGCCATGGGCAGGGACACCTCCCACCAGCCCAGGTTGCTC